TCACAGCAGATGGCCCCGCCCCTCTCTGAGCCTGGTTCTGCTGGAGGTTTCTTCCTGTTAAAAGGGAGTTTTTCCTTCCCACTGTCGCCAAAGTGCTAGGGCTAGTGCTATGGTTGTTGGGCTTTTCTCTGTAGGCTCTACCTTACAATATAAAGCACCTTGATGCGACTGTTGTTGTGATTTGGCGCTGTATAAATAAAACTAAAATTGAATAATTCCTGTGGCCACAAACACAACAGGTGGTGAAAGATTATATAAATAATGCAATGTGATGTATATAATTTCTAATTAATTATCATATTTTATGAAGACATAGGTTGTTCATTGAGAAATTTGAATATTGTGGAAACTTGAAATGATTTGACATTAACATCGAAGGTAACTGAGGTTTTTTTGTTTGTGTGTTTGTTTTGAGTGGTCACATCTGCTGACCCTCTACCTACTTTGCTATGGCAAGCTCAGAGACTTCGAATGGTTCCTCTACAGGAACTGTGCAAGCCCAAGGAGACTGCGTGCCCTGCTGAGCAGTCAGTCAGCAGCATATTTAGTGATGACACCTCAGATGTCCCTTTAGGGTTGACACATATACTAATTGGTGTTCTCATCTTACCCCACATACAACACATCACTCAACATGTGTGGTCTACGCATCCATTATTTTATCAACTATAGAAGCACAACCATGAAAGTCATTTCCCTTCATCATATTACTGTTCTTTTAGTCTTCTTGATGTTTCTTGTACTGAATCATATTGTACACTTAACCTTTCATTGAAATCAGCCAATAACACATCCCTCTGTCATATAAAATCTCATCAATATGGACAAAATAAATGACAAGATATGACCGACACATCCAAAGTGATCATGAGCCCATGTTATTAAAAGCTACTTCTGTCCACTTGTAAAAGCCATTAGCAGAGCTGTAATTGACCAGTGGACCAGGCGCTTGTCCCTGCAAATTATTTAAGCGCATTCCAAAGTACAAGTTCAATCAAAAATGTAATGGCATGTAAAGTGTTTATGTATGTAAATCCTTTTCCAGGCTATATATTTATGGTAATGACATGCTAGAGCAGCCTAGTAGCATAGGGAACTGAAGAGTGTGTAATTACACTAATGCTCCACTGACTAATAGGCCACAGGGGAGGTGGAGTCCGTAGGCTTGTGTTAGCTCACTTACTGATGCACAAATCCCACCAGCATAGACGATAGACTCCTGTGACTCTGTGTGTTCAGACTGAGGAGTCTT